TCGTTGATGTGAACGAATGCCACGCCCAAAGCGTGCTTGTGTCCTCTGCAGTCCGAGGCGATAGCAGCAGCGATAGCAGCGACAGCAGCGACAGCGAGTCCGGCAAGAAGAAGAAGAAGGAGCCGAAGCTTGGCTCTTTCCAGGCATACCTATTTCGTTTGTGTTTTGCTGGTTGGTTTGGATTGGTTTGGTTCTGTTTTGGTTTTGTTTGTTTGCGTCGTTCGTGTTTCTTTATTTAGTTGATCTGTTTTGGTTTGGTTTGGTCGTTTTTGCTTGCTTGTTTGTCTGCTTGCTTGCTGGCTGGCTGGCTTGCTGGCTGGCTTGTTTGTTTGTTCGTTTGTTTTTTGGCTTATGTTTTGTTTGCGTGCAGGTGTTTGGTCTGCTCGGGCTTGGTTTTGTTTGGTTCGTCTTGTTTTTTGCTTGCTTGCTTGTTTGTTTGTTGGTTGCTTGCTTGCGTGCTTGCTCGCTCGCTGGGTATGTTGTTTGGTTGTTTGGTTGTTTCTTTGTTTGTTTGTTTGTTTGGTTGGTTGGTTGGTTGGTTCTTTCGTTTGTTTGTTTTCTTGTTTGTCATTCGGTTGTTTTGTTTGTTTTTTTGGTATTTGTGTTTGGTGTTGTTTGATTTCGTTTCGTTTTGTTTGATTTTGTTTTGTTTGGTTTGGTTGTTTGTGTTTGTGTTCTTTGAATCAAGCTTAAGAGGAGTTACGACATCTCCCGCACTCTTGTATCAAGGAATCCATGAACCAAGGAAGGAGAAGGCGCCCAAGGAGAAGCGGAAGGAGCCGGAGCCGGAGAGGAAGGAGCCGGAGCGAAGGGAGACCCGGCGCTCGGCGGCCTGGGCAATGCTATGACAGGGGTCAGTATTTTGACGGTTTCTGGGGGGTTAAAGTCAGAAATGGGGTTTGTTTCCCAAGAAAAACCCACCACATGGTTGTTGGGAAACATTTGAAACAATTTTGCTTATGGTGGTTTAGTGGGAAATCCCCCACTTAGCTGCTAAAATTTAAATTTTGGCTCCCCTTCCAACGTCAACCAAGACCACGTAGGGCGTGACTTTGACCATGGTAAAATAATGAGGCTAGTATGAGACTTCAGGAGACTTCATCTCTTTTGAGGGGGGGGTTCCGCACCACTTTGAAGCCATGCGGAAACCATAACGTTTGTTGGTATGTACAAGAGAATCATCATTCCAGGGTTTCTTAGGTGGTGCAGGATTTCGTCCATCAACAGTAGTGAACTTTAGGAGACTTAGGTGGGATTCCACCAATCTCTTTGGAGGTTCCCTATCGAACTCCCTAGCCAGGTGTGGGAGTTTTGGTGCTAAAAGAACAGCTGGTTTTTGGCCAATGAACGACGCATGAAGAAGGGCCTTTTTCGCCATAGGGCCAATGAACATGCAGAGAGTGATTTCTCAGCAATGGGCAAATGCTGCTCGGCTTGACACGCTTTGCACAAGTCCAAATTTTGGCGACCTCGCCCGATGGGGAAAAAAGCGGCAGATGAGATATGTTGTCTTTTTCATGGCGCTGTCCCTCTAAAGGTTTCGCTTTAGGCTGACCTGCAAAGGGAACTGTCAAAGAAAAAAAAAACACCCACAGAGAGCGGCAAGGAGGCCAGGCGGAAATGCACTCAGCCGCCTGCGGCGTAAGCCCTCAGTCAATTTCTACATGGTCTCAAAATCGGGGGGGGGGGGGGCCAAAACGAAAGGTTTCTCTTTGGTTTCTCTTTGAATCTCGGGGCTATTACTTTTTCACTGGTGAATGCCCGCCTAAATGATCCAAAGGGTCCCTTCTGAAATCATACCCATATACGAGGTCATGGCATCCCGTTTCAGCTCGCGACGCTCAGGGGACAGATATAGCCCCGAGCGGTACAGGCAGCGCGCGGACCCTGGCGTGCGTGGGCTGCCGGGAATTACCCGGTTCTAGATTTCTTGATTTCAGAACTCCAGCTGTGCCTTCCTTCTTCGGAGTTGGTTTGCGGAACATCAACTACCAAACACTGGGGGTCTGCGCGACTACTCCTTGCTCTTTTTCAGATAGGCTTCTGGGCTATGTCCAGATAGCTCATTTTTCTAGCGCCACTTTGGGTGATTCTGTTCTTGGCGTTCTCCAAGCAGGTAGCGCAAAGCGCCAAACATCAGCCTGAGAGGGGCAGGAGGGTCGTGTGGCCGTTAATCATGGGCTGGCGCAAGTTTGACGGAGGTTGCGATTGCGATCTGTTTAATCCAACATTGTCGTTTGTGGCTGCTTCAAACGATTGGCTGCCAGGCTACCATGTGCCTTGTGTGAGCATAGGCATTACACTTTCTCGTCGGTATCGCGTTCAACTCCAGGGCAACCCCGACTTGAACACATGGCCTAGACTTGGCGGTTTAACTGGACAGAGCTGGTGATAGTTCAAGCCGCTGTGCAGAGATCCTTCTTTCAAGAACATGGGCCCTGGCAACATGTGTGCTTCAGCCTTTGGAAGCGCTAAGGAATGGATTGTCCTTGCTTGCGAAAAACTTCGAGTGAGCAAGATGATCGCCAATTGGCCCAGTGGTTTTGCTTCCTTTAAACCCCTTCCAAATTTTGGCCCGCTATTGAGCACTGGTCCATTCCCCGCGCCATGTCCGAGGTAGCGAGAGCCCAAAGCGGCGCAGCCCTAGCCCCAAGCGGCGCAGCCCTAGCCCCAAGCGGCGCAGCCCTAGCCCCAAGCGGCGCAGCCCTAGCCCCAAGCAGCGGCGCAGCCCTAGCCCCAAGCGGCGCCCCAGCCCTCGCCGGGGAGCCGAGGGGTCAATGGGTCGGAGCGCTTGAAAAGGGCCGAAGAGGGGCCTGAACCGCTGCTTTCTGCTTATTTGGTGGGATCTTTGGACTCAACTTTTTGGTTGACGCAGGTCGGATTTTCCGAATTGGACCCACAAAAAGTTGAACTTTCTTTTTGGCAAGGGTTCCCCTTTAAACTCAAGCAACTTAAAAGGATGCCGAGTCTTTTTTGCCCATGCAAATCCACAGGGCATCTGAGCTAGTTGGGTTACACCGCCGGAAGGAAAGCGAAGGCCCTGGCTGCCGCAGCCAGGACCTCTTGAAGGATCAACCCGAAGATGGTCACATCCAAAAATACGGTGGTTTAAATCGTTTCAACCTGGCTCAACCCACCATCACCAGCGCCATCGCCAGCGCCATCGCCATCATTCTCATTATCATCATCAGCAGCAGCAGCAGCATTCGATTGGTGTTGATGGTTATGATCGCCGCGCTCATGATCCCCCGCCAACTTCGCAATCAAACATGTGTGTTGCCACAGACGGATTCGTTGGCCGGCAAGGCTCCGGCATTGACCAATTGGAATTCGGCGCCTGCAACACGCTCAGATTCTACAGACTCTAGTGTTGTTTTCGTCTCGTCCAAGGCCAGGGCGAGGACACTTGACAGGCATGATTGCGTGTGACAGCTTGGCATACAGGTGGCCCTGCTGTGGAGCCTTTTGATGAGTATCTGGGTTGGGGGTAAAATATCGACTCAGCCACAATCAACTACAGGATAGTCCCAGCCTCAGACATAATATGCTTATAAAATAATATCTTATAATATGCAGGTGCACCGGTTTTTGTTAGTAACTCTTGGTGTCAGGTTTTTCGCGTTGTTGGGTTGCAAAAAAAGACCAATTCGGGAGCCGAAGCCCAGTTGGATCCGTATTTGAGACAAAGCCTTGTTGACCCACCCGATTTGCAGGTCTTCAAAGGCAAATCGACCTTTTGACCTTTTGGTTATCCGTGTTGCCATCTCTGGTAGAGGTCCCAAAAGGTAAACCATTTACATTTTCCAGGCCTCATGGGCCAGTGAGTCTTAGCTTCCCAAAACGTGGGAGACCCGGGGGGGGGGGGGTGGGGATGGTGGCCTCTCCTTCTTCGATGTTTGTTTGCCTCGGCGCCAAGGCCGTAGCCCTACGCCGCGCCGTGCGTGCCCCCAGAGGTCACTAGATTCTTGCTGGTGGTTTGTCTTTTTGTAGGTGAAACTCGCCTGACGCGGTAGTTTTTTCTGTGGGTTTTTCCATTTTAAAGCCAACCGAAAGGGTGACTGTGAGTTTGCTGTTGGAAATATGTTCAAAGGGGTACTGGAGTGCAGGAGTGCGTTTTGCGTTTTGCCCAGGGACCCGGACAGGTTTTCCTCAGAGGCAACAGACTCGTTCTGTAGTTGAGTCTCCAAATCGGGAAACCCTGTTGCTGGTTCTCAGTAGGGAAGCACCAAGCGCTTTAGGAAAGGAAGCGGGAGGGGGGGGGGTTGATGGTTTCTCAAAGATGGTTTTGGCTACCCCCCAAACTGAAGCTACCCCAGAGGTAAAAAAGGGGACTGTACAACGGCTATACCGCCACTCAAGGGGATATGCCCGTGGTGTTTTCTTTTCTTAAGGTAGCTTCGGTTTGGGGGTGGGGAAAGCCATCTTAGAGTTTGGTTGGAAACGAGGAAACCGCTGCCTGCGCCGGTCCGGACCGGCCTTGGGGGTTTGATCAGCCCAGCGCCAGCGCCTGTCCGTGGCCCCTGAGTATGTCGTTCTTGGGAATCGGATGCCCCCGAAATGGAGCTCGGGTTTGTTTAGGCCCCTTTAAACCGGCCCCTCCCCTCCCCTCCCCTCCCCTCCCCTCCCCTCCCCTCCCCTCCCCTCCCCTCCCCTCCCCTAAAAATGGTTGAAAGGTTGATTGTAGGGCAGGGGTTTTGACATTGGGAGTATAGTTTTACCACATTGCCTCTCAACCTCCTATCGTGCCTGTTCTGTGTTATCATCAAAATTTGGTTTATCCTCCTTTTCAAGGTTGGTTTTGGGGACTAAATTATTTACATTTTTTTCGTTTTCAATAAGTCAAGCAATGGCAACCTTATTCACTTTTTCTAAGTTTTCAATGTGGTCAACAACATCGCCTCATTCGTTTTAAAAAACCCCAGAATTTTCAAATATCTGAAAAAAGAGTATTGTTTAACCTTATTCATTTGTCAAAAACCTCACCCCACAAAATAGTATTATAACTGATGACTAACTCTATAAAAAATAGTTTTAATCACATTATACTGAAATAATATCATTAAAAACAATCACCACCAATCATTGTCATATATTCAAGCCGTTCATAAATATCATTTACTGGTTCTACATTTGACATTTTTTCTGTCTTTGGTTCTTTTGTCTTTGTTTCTTCCTTAACAGTTATAAAATTGTCCTTGTGTCGTTTTGTTCTTTCGTGCCTCGCTTTATTATGAAGTCCTATCATTATTTTACAGCAAGGACATTCATATTGCTTATGCTTAGTTTCCTTTTCATTTGTTGTATTATGTTCCTCCATATACTCTATACTCCATACTCTTTTAACTATTTTTCTTAACATTTTTTTTACATTTTTTTCATTTAATAACAGTCTAAGATATTGACATTTTCAAGGTTCGGGTTTCAGACAATTTTTAAGCCTTCTGGGGGATACAAGTGTTTAATCATATTATAAGATAATAATATTAATAAACTTAATCTGAATCACTATCAACAATATCTCTATAAGTAAACCATTCTATAATCAACCTTTTCTTTTCTATCAAATGACAGACGAATTTATGGTAAACTCATTATTAAAAATGTTTTTATAAACGACTTTGTCTGTGTTTTCTATATTGCCATTTCAACATTTTAAGAAAATCTCTACACATCGAGATGCTAAAATCTTTACAAGATACATAACCATCATTATTATGAAAAAGTAAATTATAATGAAATTGAGTAGCGGTTTCATAATACAAGATTAACCTATTATCGTATCCATACTCTTTTAATGTTTTGTCAAAATCAGTTGTAAATATTGTCTGTAATGACTTTTTCGTCGGACATTTATTTAACCTCGTGATATACCAAATCCACTTCTCCATTTCTTTTAAATTGTCAGGTTCGTTTTTCATTAAATGTTTTGTAATGGTGCATTTTTTACAAATTACAAAACTCAAAATATTATCAATGATACAGTCAGGCAAAATGTCATTTGCTTTTTTGACTTTGTTGTTGAATATCTTACAACCACGGCATTTTACAATTTCTTTTGTCAATTCTTCTCTGATACACTTATTCATTTTTCTCTTAATATATTAAGGGGTCATTTCTTTAAGTAGTTCTATTTTTTCTTCTTGCCTCTGCTACTTTTTGTGTCAGCGCTTTCTGGGCTTCTGCTCCTGCTTCTTGTTTCCATTTGTTCCCTCGTCCATTCACTACCTCTTGCTATTTCTTCGGGTGACCGACTTCTGCTTCTCGTTTCCATTTGTCTTATGCTCCATTGACTGCCTCTTGCTCTTTCTTCTGGTGAGTGACTTCTGCTTCTTGCTTCTACCTGTCGTCTTGTCCAGAATGATGCCCTCGGTTGTTCTTCTTCCTGTTCTCTTGATTGTTCTGATGGCGTGGATGACTTCTTTTCTCGTTTGAATAATTCAAATATGCTCTTGTCTTCTCCACCTAAAAATATGTTTCTTAACGACTTTATTTCTCGGCTTTCCTCTTTCTTCTCTTCCTCTTTCACGGTTGATGCTGACGATGATGACGTTAAATGAAGACTTTGTAAATCTTCCTGCTTTTCATCTTTTGGTTCATCTTTTGGTTCATCTTTTGGTTCATCTTTTGGTTCATCTTTTGGTTCATCTTTTGGTCCTGAAATTGCATTGCTATAAGTTTCATCAGCAAAATCGTTTGCTACATATCGTGTTGTTTGTGCGTCTGGCTCGTTGTTTTCATATAACTGTGATGTTGGTGCTACTTCATCAAACATATCAGGGAACAATTCGTGTTGAAGAACTTGTTTATCAGTTTGAACCCTAGCATTCAACCGTAGTCTCCTATCGTATTTTGAAAGGTCAAAATCATCAAAGTCTATATTATTAATTGATGTGTCAAATGTCTGTCTTTCAGGGACAATTTCAATTTTTATTCTGTGTGTCATCGCTTCTTTCAGCATTTCATCAAATGTAGGGCGTCGTCTTAATCCATAATATTTATCAGTCATATTAAATATTATAGATTATTTATTGTTGAGTTGCTTTATGGACGAAGTATGTATTATAAACATTGTCCTCATAATATTTTTGTAGTTTAACCTTCACTTCGTTTCTATCTACTCCTGTTGTATTGTTATATTCATATAATAATTCTTTGAACTCATCATATTTAACAGCGTTAATTACATTGAATTGATGTAGTTTTGAAATTATACTATCCATTAAACTTCTTGGATTTTTTGCTAAATACACCGGCCACATCCACTTTATACCACTTAAATAATTTTTGAAAATTCGTTCGTCATCAACTTCTTCATTTTCAACATTTTTTAATTCTATTACGATTGCTTGTTCTTGCATTTCCAGTATCTCAGCATTAGTAATGGTTGTTTGCGCGTCATCGTCATCATCCTTACCTTTTTTCAATGCTTCTACTTCAACTACAGTGTCGTCTTCACGTTCATCTTCTTCTTCCTCTTCCTCTAATGGTTCTAACTCTGGCATTTCATCAGCGGACACCATTGCATGAATTTCTACACCTTCTGGTATTGATTGTTTTGAAACAGCACTTGCCATTTCTTCGTGTTGTTCTCTCCAAAGTCTCATTTTTTCAGCAAGTTCTTCTTTCTGTTTGTTTGTTTCCACCAATCTTTCATTAATGAAAGACTGCTGTTGTTTCAGTGTGTCAGCAAGTTTCAGTTCATCATCAAGTTTAGCTCTTACACTACCACCGTCCGACGACGCTTCTTTAACAACTTCTTCTCTTCTGTTCAGTTCTTGTTTCTTTTGAATATCCAAAGCATCTTTATTATCAAACTGACTACCGTATTGATTTAATCTGTATCTGGTTGCTTTTCTGTCTATTACATTTTCAATTGATGGGCGGTTCTCATCTCCTACTAATGTTTCTTTCAATAATTCATCATAAGAAGGTCTCAAATGTAATTGTGATTTCAATGACCCTACTTTTACCGGTCCTACTGTATTCAATCTATTCATTGATTTAATCATAGTATATTAATTATTTAGAAAACATAAATTAATCAGAGAGATTCTTAATCATTTCTTCTAGATGCTTCTTTCTTACTGTTAGTTGTTCCTTTGTTTGTATTCCGTCTGGTGACCGTGTGTTGTCTAATATGTTTCTTATTCTGTCTAACTCTTTTCTGTAACTTTCGGTTCTGTTGCTTTCAACTAAATCGTTTCTATACTTTATTAATGCTCCTTGTGATTGTTTCGCTTCCAGTGTGCCCTTCAACTGTTTAAAGTAATTCATACGCGAGGCAACTCCCCATAAATCTGAAACATCATAATGACGTTCTACTTGTGGTGCTCTTTTGAATTCTACATTTCTATGACTTCTCATAAGCATAATTGTTATATATAATAATTAGATTATTATTTAAAACATTGATAAAGTTAATTGATTTATTTTATCTGATTTATCTTGCTTTTTCTTTTGTTTAAGTTCTTCATAATGTTGGTTTAATAGTTCTGTTGCTGTGGGTTTCTTAATGGTTTCTTTAATCACTTCTTGCTTAATCTCATTCTTGATTTCTTCTTTTACTTCTGGTTGAATTTTCTAATATTCTTTTGTGGATTAACTGGTAATAATTCAGTAGGCACACCCTTACAATTCTTTGGATGTGAAAAACGAAGTGATTTAGCATTCATAGATTTACCACATTTTTCACATTGGACTACTTCAATTTCTTTCTTTGTCCTTGGTAATGTTTTTGCTTTTGCTTTTGCTTTTGCTTTTGCTGTTGGTTTAGGTTCGTCTATGGTTTCTTTTGTTGGTTCTTCAGGCGTTGGTTCTTCATTAACTGTTTCATTTTGTTCAACAACCTCATTATTAATAGGTGCTTCGTCTGTTTTAGTTTCATTATTAACATCTACTACCTCAATACTTGTCATATAATATATTCTATATATTTTC